TTGTGTCTTAATTTCTTTTGTATTAAATAACAACACTACTTATAACAAGATTCTCTGTTGGAGGGTCTGAGGAAGAGTCTTTCCCAATATGGAAAAATAAATTTGTCTTTTGTAGGTAGAGGGAGAGGTCATATGCTACTATTCAGCAGAAAGCCCAGAGCATTCACAAATAATTAATTCTTAAGCTCATTTTCATCATCTGTGTCTAAGCACCACATTCTGTTATATTAGTAATTATTAGTGTTCTTTATTTTCATATCATTACTTTTTAAAATAAGTACTGTAAAAATTATACATACATTTTTCATATGTGGTATATTGACAGAACTGGGGATTGAACTTGGCCTTTTGTTTCCTGGGCAAGTTCTCAACCACCCAAGCCACGTCCCCAGTCCTTTTGCTTTTAGTCTTCTAAAAGCCTAGTTTGGACTTGAACCACGATTTCCCTTTCTCCACCTCCACAGTAGCTGGGATTACAGGTGTGTACTACCGCACCCTGCAAAAATTATATTCTTGATGTCATGAACTTTTCTTCACTTGTAAAATCTCTTTAAACAGCATTTACTTCTTAATCAGTGATACTATGGCTATATCTTATTGGTAAAAGTTTAGTTCTTTTCTCAAAACTTCCCCTCTGTTTTTATTGAACAAATTTCTGTTCTGTGCCTCCTTTGAGCAATGGTCTGTCTTTCCTTGCTCATGTTTGGCTCATAGTATTGAGTGGACTATTCCCATGGCTATTTTTATTTCAATGAACTATAAAGCATCAGAGGAGAGAGCTGTCAGCTTTGTGAAACATTTGTGTCTTCTTTTTTCCTTCACTATTTGGCTAAACTATTATTTTTTTAAAAGAAAGCTAACCTAAGTCTTTGAAATGTCACTCATTAAAATGTCCTCAAAATAAACATCACTATTTTGGAATCTTTTGCTCCTTAACAAATGAGATGGTGTTAGCTTGTAATGTACCTTTAAAAGCAGCATTCAGAACAGATAGTGCTTGCTCTGTGGAGGCCAGTTCTATTTTCTTATTTTAACAAAACCTGCTCTTTACACAATTTAACTACTTTCATTGCATCTGGAGTCATTTGAAGTTGCTATTGAAACATTAGTAAGTCCAGTTTCAAAAAAAGTAAATCACAGAATTAAAATAATAGTTTAATACAATGTTTGTTTGAGGAGCCCACTTATTGACATAGGGTTTTATTTGATCAGACAGCGGTCTGACAGTTTGTCAGCGAGTAAGAAGTGACAATTAATTGGTGATGTGTCAACAATTAGCTGAGCTCTAATTAATTCATCATGTTACTGATAACTAGAAAAACATCTTTTTATTAGATGTTAGGTTAAAGAAAATGTGACTAAGATGTGTTTTCATTTTTTTTCTCCCTAATATGGTTGAAGTTGTTGACCCTAAACTTTTATTATATTATATTTCAAAGCTGTTTTTGAAAGAAACAATTCAAAAAAGAATTGACATTGCACTAAAATCTTCTCTTAAGATCATTGCTTATTAATGTCTTTGATCCAAGATGCTCGTAGATGATTTTAATCAAATACTCTCTAAATAAGAATCATTATATTATCTTCAAAACCCTTTCATATGCAATCTGCAACAACCATAAGCACCTGTGACTAAGCAGAAGCTTATGGTATTGTAGGGTATCTCAGAAATCAATCTTTTTTTCTTATCATATTAAGTGCTGTAGAGGGTACAGCACTTCCACCCTTATGTCATCGGGTAGCTGACGAAAGGCAGCCCACCAATTTTTGAAGCTCAGTATCATTTTCCATATTTTACTAGTCTTTGCTTTTCCTTTGATGTACAAGATGAAAGTACCAATAAGAAGAACAGAACAAAAACTACTTTTATCCCATAAATTCCTCTTTCTCATGGACTACTCCAGTGAAAGAAAGTCATGTTTCCTATTTGTATTTATCCTCATTTTAGTCCTTGGAAATCATTTGATTTGTGCTTCTTTGCACAAGCGTATGGTTTTCATTTCTAGCACAGAAGTCTTTTGAGAAATCTCATTTGACAAGTTATATGCTATCAGAATTCAACTGTTACAGAACAATTTCATTTGCCTTTTTAAAATTAGAACTAGGCTTGAGTTTACTGTTCTTAATCTGTTCTGAAGAACTATAATTATTGAGGTAACAACTGAATTTCCTTTCTACTAACAATGATGCAAGTTTCTTTTTTCCTTTTTGGTACTGGAAGGTGTTATGTTTTTGCCCATTAAATATGTGAGAGCTGAGGTGAGAAATTCATTATGTTGCTATAAAAATCCGTGTGAACACATCTTTTTCCCTGCAGCACCCACCCCTTTCTCTATTGCTATGATATTAACAATGAATTTAAGTAAGTTAATTAAACTCTATTCTTAATTTGTTCAAATATGAAAATTAATTTGTCAGCAAAGATAGTATAAAGAATGTCTGACAGTAAATTAGTACTACCTGTGAATACAGAAAATGGATACATGACTACATATCAAAATGTTACACAAGAAACATTTTATTCATTCTAAAAGTTGAAAAGCACCAATAAATTGTTTGAGTATATTTTCGCCTTCCCTTATGTTTCCCAGGCTTTATTTTTAGACATTTAATTTATTTTTAGTGAAGATAAAATAATTTTTCGGAATGAATTTTTTGTGATGTTTAGAAAGCAGTTGATAGTCAGGACAGGTCTAAGCCCACTGAGGGCCAGAATCATGAAAGTAGGAGTTTGTAGGACAGTCAGGAATAGCAGTAAGGCCTCAAGGAGTAAGTAAGAATGCCTGCCTAGCAAGCATGAGGCCCTGAGTTCAAACTCCAGTAGCACCAAAAAAAATTTTTTAATCATATTGCCAACATACCTGTACTGGCTGTGAGAAATAAGGAATGTGATGTAGAAGTTCTGCAGTACAATCTTAAGTCTAAATTCAGCTCAACTGGAGTAGATGATGGACATGAACCATCAACTCTCAGTCCCTTGACTGTGCTTTCTAATACAGACTTAATAGATGATTTAGGACCACTGCTTACCTCAGAGAGTGCCAACCTTCACCAACCCAGCAATTACTAGAGTAGATTTCAGGTTTTCCATTTTTTAACAAAAAGTTTCATAGTGCAATAAATTTGGAAGTCCATTTACTAAATCCTGTATATAAGCTTCAATGTTAATTTAGTATTTCAAATTTATTTTATTTGTTTACAAATATTTATTGCTTTTCTCCTGTGAAGCAGACCTGTGCAAGATACCCAGCACAATGATGGACAATGTGTGTGTGTTCTGCATTCCTCGTCCTTCAGTCTGTGTAGAAAGATGTTAAAATAAGTAATTGCAATATAACATGTTAAAGACTGATGGAGGGGAGAGTAGGGCTCAAAGGGAACACAAAGCAGATACACCTAATTGGTCTGCATCAGGTCAAAGAAGGGAACCAGAGAAGTCCTGTCAATGCTGAAAGCCTGAAGATCAAGTAGAAATTCAGTCAAGGAGATTGCAGTCACAGCAATGGCAAAAGAGTAACAACAAATGGCAGAAGCTGGCATGTAACTGCACTCCTGCTGTTTCTCAGATACTATGCTATGTACTTTCCCACTTTCCACCAACCATCTTCCTGGATAGCTTTTATTACTCTCAAAGATCACATGCCCAGACCAGAATTTGAATGTTGACCTCTCTGACTCCAGAGTCTTCTTTCCTTTCTCACCCCATGCTGCCTCTTACATCAGTTAACTGCTTTTGATTAAATTTGTTTTACTAAAACAAAACAATGACTTGAATGATATCTTAATTTTGCTTTCCTTTTGATTGGCATGTGGTATTTATTAGTTTCTTTTAAAAAATAGGTGCACATTTTGTGATTTTTAACAGATTATAATAAAGTGTGGCATTTGTATCTAATTTTTATAAGTAGATTACAGCACCAAGGTCTGAAGTTCACACTCCCAAGAAGTGTATTACACAGAGTAGATATTCAAAACAATACCATTGGATGTGAGGGCGATCTGGCTGCGACAGCTGTCACCCCATTGATCGCCAGGGTTGATTCGGCTGATCTGGCTGGCTAGGCGGGTGTCCCCTTCCTCCCTCACCGCTCCATGTGCGTCCCTCCCGAAGCTGCGCGCTCGGTCGAAGAGGACGACCATCCCCGATAGAGGAGGACCGTTCTTCGGTCAAGGGTACACGAGTAGCTGCGCTCCCCTGCTAGAACCTCCGAACAAGCTCTCAAAACAATGCCAATGCAACTTCATGTTTTTAAGTGGGAGAGTCATTTGGAAAGATGACTTTAAATCTTTTAAGGAAAAATATTACACCCGTTTTAAATGTAGTTCTACTTCTCTGTGTGATATGATCAAGCTAGCCATAGGATTTTTCATCTTTAAGATATTGTATATGTGGAAGGTGCAGATTAAAAAATCGATCCCCATAAAAAAGTCAGAAATTATCTATCAACTGCAAGTTCACACACAGGTTTGGCAAGAATATCTATAGGTAATATGAGCTTTATATTCATCAGAAAAGAGGCGCATAACATCAGGATAACTCACTGTTAATACTTTTGCTTCAAAAGTTTTAAAGGAGGTTTAAAGGAGGGTGAGATCAACAGTAGAAAATAGGTTTCAGAAAATAAAATGGTGGATTACCTGGGTTTGATCCCTGGAAGGAAGGAAGAGAGAGAGAGAGAGAGAGAGGAAGGGAGGGACAAGGAAGGGAAAGAAGGGAAGAAGATGGATTTTTCTAATCTCAGTAGAAATGTTTAAAATCCCAGGAAGGGAAGGGAATGGGTGGAGGAAAGAGGGGAAGGGATGGGTTGGTTGCTCTAATCCTAGCAGAAATATTTAAAAATCCCATAAAGCAATTCTTCAATGTCCTGGGAGTGAGTGACAGGGTGCAGTCACTGGGCCTAAATGAGTAGTTCAGAGACTTGCTTTATTGATGACACTGGGATTTTTAATTCTGGGCTTGTGTCCTTGCTAGGCAGGTATTCTTCGTTTTGAACCACACCTCCAACCAAGACTTGCTTTATTTAATTGGCCATGTCAGCACACCAGTCATTACCTAACTTGCCATCAAAATTATTTTTAAATGACATAAATATTATATGTAATATAAACCAATATATTTTAAAACATCTCCTCCTCACCCTCAAGAGATGATTTTTAGGTATGAAAGGGTCACAAAGGAGAAGAAAAGAAATTTTAAAAAGAGAAGAATCTGGTCAACTTTATTAATACCCAAACCCTTGTAATTTATATTAAGTCAACAAAATACTATTGCTGGATGAAATCTCACTTGTTATTTTTATTTGGGGGAATAAGCGGGATGATGAACAAAAATTTACTCATGATCAAACATCAGTTTATTTCCTTGCTAACTGAATGTTTTGATTTAATTTTAGGGATACCACAGTACAAAGTCTTACTCTTCAGCCTTCAGTTAAAGATGGACTAATTGTATACGAAGACTCACCTTTGGTTAGTAATTCTATTATATGAATACTTCAAAGTATTTTCTGAGTGATAGCAGTAGGTCAGCCTTTGAGAAGGAATCTCCCATAGAGTCCAATGTATTTCAGTCTAACTGAACACATTCATGTGACATTTTAGGGGGTGGATATTTAAATGAAAATTACTGGGAAAATAACATGTCTTTTTATTCTGTTCTCTTCAAGTAAGAGATTTAGGAAATGGCACAAATCCTCAATTGATTTCTCTTGTTACAGAATATTCTGTAAGTTTGTTGTTGTCTTCAAGTATATGGTTTGAAACTAGGTAATATCACCTAGAAAAGTTTTCAAAAATGGTTTTAACTACTGAAATAATAACCAGGTGCTTTGAGAAGCTGGAAGATCCTGGTCTTCAGCTTGCTAGTCCAGATTCCAAAGAAATCCCAGCTTGCCTGGCATGTTCCTTGGTGTAGATAACTCCTTCCCTGCAGTGGCACAAATGAGCCATCATGGAATCTTTGTGGTCCAGACCCTGAGATTAGCAGACTTTTTCTACCTGAAGTCTCACACATTGGACCCAACTTCCCTGAACAGAGATGGGGGCTGGGAGTGCAAGCCACATATTTTCTTTTTCTAAAAGTAAGTTTATTTTTAACCATACAAGTTTTATTTACTATCCCTTGTTCTTTGAGGAAAATGTATAAAATATTTTCAGTAAAAGGAATCATGATATGTTAATCTATATTTCCTGAAAATAATTAGTCAAAACTATGCAATCTGAAAAACTTATCAGGTATCTACTGTTTTAAGAAAAAGTTTGAAGGTTTACACTGAAATTGAATTCATTGAGTATCTCCTCCTATCCACCTCCCCAAAAATGTTTTGAGGCTTTTAGTTTTCATCTTTCTTTTCGTGTCACAATTCATAGTCACCCAAGACCTAGGTCTCTTATTTTCCCTTTACCCTCTTCCTTTCCAAGAAGTGGGAAGACTATAGAACCCTTAAGATTGATCTAATACTTTGTATTTCCGTGTGTTCCCATGTCTAGTCTTACCAGGTTCCCAAGCTCTTTTGAACCAAATTAATGTATTAATCCCTTTTTAGTCTATTCTATATATTGCTGCCAGATTAAATCCATTTCTATCATGTTTGAATTTACAGGTGTAAATTATATCCCATTACTTAATGAGATAAAGTACATATTTCTTGGTCTGGCAACTAAGTGTTTAGTAGTAGAAACCCAATATTCTCTTCCTTTGTCTTTTCTCTCTTTTCTTACATTTAACCTCTATTTCAGCCAACAGATATTATTCATATTCAATCTTCATTAAATATGCCCCCAGGAATTTTATTCTTTTTTACTTGAATACCCACTTCTTCAGCATCATCCATTCTGATCTATTAAATTTCAGTCGCTTTTCAAGAGCCATAATGAGTGCAGTGTTCTAAAGCCCACAGTTGATTATGTTGTCTTACTCCTCTTAACTTCCATGGCACTTTCATGGTACTTTAATTCCTCTATTTATTATACTTGCTTTACATTTCCCCAACTCTAGGCTGTGAAATGTTGTTGACAATCACCACCATAGGAGTAATTCCAATACTCGAAAAGGTCACTGTAGAGTTGGCAGTTTAGTACTGTGTGAAACTGTTGGAGGAGTTCGATCAATTTTGCTTCTAACTCTGTTGTAGACTTTTTGTCCACTTGGTAGTGTACGTAACTTAAGACCAACTATGGTAAATCCAAAGTAGTAAGTGATGAAGTTTTAATAATAGTTGCCTTCTTGTTTGTTTGTAATAATTTTCTGTTTTCAAAGGTTAAGGCAGTAAAGTTGGGTCATATTCTGGTAGTAGATGAAGCAGACAAAGCACCAACAAATGTCACCTGTATTTTGAAAACTCTAGTAGAAAATGGAGAAATGATTCTAGCTGATGGAAGACGCATTGTTGCAAGTGAGTATTTAAAAAGCAACATTCTGTGTAATATATGCAATTTTTACATCTCTGATATCAAGGCACAAACTTAGCTGGCTGCTTATTTACAAGCAATAAACATAAGTTCAATATAAATAAAATTGTCTGTATTGACAATCATTTATTAAAATTAATGTCCAATGGCTAGGGGTGTGGTTCAAGTGGTAGAACACCTCACTAGCAAGCATGACGCCCTGAGTTCGAATCCCAATACCGTAGAAAAAAATCTTGCTTCATTGTGTAGCAATGTATAAATCTTGCTTCATTGGTTTTACTTTTTATTTTTGGCACAAGTGGTTGAACCCAGGACCTTGTATATAATAAACACATGCTCTACTACTGAGCTACATCACAGCCTCCTACTTTTACTTCTTATAACCAGTGTCTTTGAAAATTTCAATAGTAATATTAGAACAAATCAGCTTCATATTTTCTACTCTGAGAATACCAATGTATAATCTTTATACTCATTTCTCAATTGCGTGTGTGTTACTTCTTTTGTTTGATTGCTATCTGGAATTTTTTAAAACTCTGGCATGTTTTTATTGTTCACAATATTAAGACTTATTATTAGCTCAGTATTATTAGCTCAGAATAATTACAAAAAAATTAGACATTGAATTTCATATATATACATATACTAATGCATTTGTATCTATATACATATATATATGCACATATTCATACTTCAGGAAGAAGTTATTCTCTATTTAGATTGTCTTCTTTCCCTTCTACTCACATAATCTTTTTGTTGTTAATTATTAGAAACAAATAAAATAGGTGAATCTCGTCACTATATTTGACCACAGGAAAAGTTAAGTTTGCCTAATACAATGTGAAAACATTTTCTAGTTTCTGATTTCAAAGTTTTACTGTCTGGAAAGAAATAAAAATCTGTAGCTAGCCATGGAAAATGCATAGTTAATAGTGTAGTAACCAAACAAGTTAGAACTAATAACTAGCATCCTTAGCATTTGAAGAAAGCACATAAGAAGGTCCTGTTATATAGCTGCAAGTTCAGCATCGTGGGGGTGTCTCAGTGGACTTTATCATCGCAAGACTGCCCTTCTGAGCTTCAACTCAGCACCAATATTCAACTCACCATTCTAGTATTTTGGTTTCACAATGAATTTATTTTTAAAAAAAATGAGAATTTGAATTAACCTGAAAAGACACCATTCAGACTCTCAGGATTAGAATTCTGCCTGCCTTTTAAAAGTAATTATAAGTATAGTCAAATAGAAAGGAAGAAAGAATTGAAGCAAAATCATGGTTAAGGTGCATTACATTTTCTCAGATGTTTTTGAGGAATAGCCTAGAAGTACAGGGGGCATAATAATTTTCAAGCTCAAGTGTGAGTATAAATGTCTTCTAGGGGAGGAGGGCAGTGCTGGGCATTGAACCCAGAGCTTCCCTAATGCCAAGCATGTGTTCTGTCACTGAGCTAAACCCTCAGCTCTGACATTTTAAACAAGGATACCTGAAATTCTTTTGAACAGAGTTTCATAAACCCTCAATTTGAGGCCTATCTTTTCATTTTCTTAATTATATTTTTCATTATCATACTTGTTTTAATTAATCAATTTTTGCTTGTGGCTACATACTCTTATTTTTCTCACTACTAAAATTAATGAGCATCAAATATTAAAAACAATAGGTTTTATTAACACATGAATAGGTGGTACCTTGAGAGATTACTGAGATCTTAAAAAATTATGACTATCAGTTAACTTACAGACTCTTCACACATAAAACTGCAGGTGTGTCACAATCATCATGTTTTAAAGATGAGTAGCTGAAGGCTGGGGTTTGAAGAAGCCCAGATAGCAAGTGGTTCTTCTTAAAATAACCACCATATAGTTTTTACTATCTCAAATTAATGCCTGAGCTATCAGTTGTATCTGAAATGTACACCATCCAATAGATAGCTCTGTTTAGTTCCTTTAATACCATAATATTTGGATACAGAAAGCTCCAGTGTACTTGAGATCACTTACTTTAAGAACTATGTTAGAATTCCCTAAGTAAATTAATATTTCATTCATGAATTGACTAGATATTTTTGCATATAGTTACATTGGAGAGTGTGTGATTTAAATAGGAATGACTCCTTAAGCTACATAATGGTAGTAGGTTCTACACTAAGGGATATAGCTGACAAAAGCTAGAGAATGTTTAGATTATTCCTTGGGTGTTTCTTAGATTCTCATAAGAGATGTTTATCTTTTTTATTTTATTTTTAAAGAATAATTACATCTCAAGCTAGGTTTAATTGTTGTAAGACACTTGGACAAATTTGATTTTTAGCTGTATGCTGAATACAAGTTCATGTATAATTTAGTATATACTTTATCAGTATTCTGTTCTTGAGCAAACTTTCTTATTTTTCTGCAACCCATGTATCACAGCCAGATATCTTAAAGTTTTAAAAATAATTGAACAGTAAAATAGTTATGTTATTTAAAAGTCTGCAACTTGATATTCTTAGCATTCTTAAATATCAATAAAGAATAACTAGAAATTTTGTTTTTCAGATTCTGCTAATGTAAATGGGAGAGAAAATCTTATAGTGATTCATCCTGATTTTAGGATGATTGTTCTGGCCAACAGACCTGGATTTCCTTTCTTAGGCAATGATTTCTTCGGCACCTTAGGTAAAAACAACAGTGACAATAATAGCAGCAGAAGGATAGGCAATGCAGCATTGTTTACAACAGCAAGAATGGAAACAACCCAAATCTCCATCCAAATGGGACATAAAAAGAAATTCTGTTGTGTCCACACAGTAGAATAATATGCAACTATTAAAAAAAAAAGTGAGGGCAATGATAGCTCATGTTGAAATAAATGAATCAATCTTTGAAATATTAATTGAAGCAGTAAGTCATGAATGTGGCTATAATAGATTACCATCTCTATTTGCACAGGCAAAGGGGATATATGTGTACGCGTTTGTACTTGTATGAGCATAGAATTTCTATTAAAGAGGACAGAACTGGTGCTTGCGCTGGCGGTCAGGGATGGAAGTATAATGTGTGCAGTTACACCATTTTTGTAGTTTTTACTACTGACAGATTTACTCTAAAAATTGCTGACAATTCATATATTACTGATGCTTTTAGAAACACAGTGATGTGAACACCCCAAAATAAACCTACAATTACTTGTAATTAGTGAGAAAAGATTTGAGTTCTTTTTTATGTTTCAGTTCTTCATAAGTCACTCTTATCCCCAGGTCACCCTGCATTTATTTTAATGCCTACAAGAACAGGCATTCCCTGTTGTCTCCATCTTCAGACTTCCCCAAATCCTGAAATCTACTGTTCTATCTACTGTTATTCAGATGAAATTCTTGCACTCCCTTAAGTGCCCTCCCCACACTGAAGTCCTTTCAAGCAGTGATACTCCTCCCTCCTCCCCACTCTGGGCCTGGAGAAAGTAAGGAGTCTTTGCTTCTTATTGCTGCTTCTAGATCACTCTTGGTCTCTTCTTTTAAAATTCCCAGCTATATATCTCATGTCATCAGATTACATCATGTTGAACTCTTTGTTCCTTATTATTTCTCAGTGATCTTTGGCTCTTTGTTCACTTTCACTCACTCTAGCTCTACTTCTTTTGGAGTGGTTGCAGTATACATGCGTCTCTCCCCTACCTGGAGTCTTGGCTCCTTGGATGTTTTTATTCCAGTGATCTTACCCTTTTCCTACCTTAGCCATTCACTCCTGTGTACATACCCTAGTTTCCAAAACTGAAACTCTTCTATAATCTCAGTTTCATGATTCTGTTCTTATTTTTCCTCAGGATTTTCATTTCATCTCTGTCCAAATCCAACAGCCCTTCAAACCTATTAGAAACTCCAGTCTATTGATTCTATCAGCTTTTCACTATACTCCTTGTACTTTATTCTCCTTTTCTGATTTTGAGTTCTGTGATCATTCATATCAACTACATTCTTGCATAAATCTTTAACTTCCTAGTCCTCTCAGCTTTTCCTAGGCACTTGGAACCCCTCAACCCTGGTTCTTTAACGTACTCAGTGTACTCTGACTACATTGAGCCTACACATGCACAACTGAATGTGGTTAGAAAAAGTATAAAACCACTCTGACAAATCTCACTTTAAACTCTTGACTGAACCTTAAGTGTCCCTTCGTTCAGTCACGCCATGTTTCCTTGGTCCTTTCATTTCCTGTTCTCCCAGGCCAGTAATTCAGATCTTCTCCCTCCTCATAGTTCTGACACTATTGCATGAACTCATTTGTTTTAAAATTATGCAGTGCTTCAACACACTCTGAGAAATTGGAGTGTAGAAGTGCTCACGGAGGGGGAAGGAAAAGTCCTTCAGTTTCCCACCAGTCCCATTCCCTCCCCATACCTAACTCGGGTTCAGCTTACTGACCCTACTTTCAGACACCTGTTTTTTTTTCCTGTTTTCCTACTGCACTGAGAAAAACCGAAGCAATTAGAAACTAATGTCTCCAGACTACTACCACCAAGTCTTCCTACTTATAGTGTTCTGCTTTCCCACCTGTTAAAGGTAAACTTCACATTCCCATCTAAAGCCAGTCCTTCAGAGGGGCACTCGAGCCCACCTTCTCAAGGATACTGCTGTAGCGATTCTGCCCTCCCCCTCCCACTCCAGCAATTCCTTCTGTTAGTTTATTCCCATCAGCAAGCGAGCAAGGGGTTATTTCCTCAGTGTTGAAAAATGGCCCTCTCAATCCTTTTTTGCAAACTGCTGCTAGATTCTTCTGCTCTTCTTTGCAGCAAAACTCCATATGACAGTTGTTTGTGCTCAGAAGAGTTGTCCATACTCTCCTTCTCCATTTCTTCTTCACCACTCTCTCTTACATCAGTTTTTATTAATTTATTTTTTATTGTATTATTGTTGTACTGGGGGCACATTGTGACATTTACAAAGGTGCTTACAATATATCATAGCTGAATTCACCCCCTCCATCATTCTCCTTTATTCCCTCCTCCCCCCATTCCTGGAATAGTTTCAAAAGGTCTTACTTTTCCATTTACATACATGTATACATAAAATTTCCACCATATTCACCTTCCTGCACACTTTCCTTATATCCTCCCCCATCCCACTGCTACCAACCTCCAGACAGGACCTGCTTTATGTTCCTGTTCTCCATTCTTGAAAAAAGGCACTTGTTTAAAATAGCAATACAGGGAGTTTCCTTGTGACATTTCTGTGTACATATGTATTATAACCCAAATTGGTTCATCTCCTCTGTTTTTCTCCTTTCTACCTTAGTCCTCTTCTTATGGTGATTTCAACAGGTTTAAAAATTCTATATTCATTCTTGTATAGAAAGTACATCAACCATATTCACCTTGTTAACTTCCTTCTTTTACCCTCCTTCCCTTGGTAGTGACCTTCCCTTAGCATAACCTGTTTTTCACAATATTGCTTGTATTTATATTTTATCTATCTCCTACATATGAGAGAAAACATGCAACCTTTGTCTTTCTGAGCCTGCCTTACTTCACTTAACATGATGTCCTCCAGTATCCACTTACTTTTAAAGCACATTGTTTCATTCTTCCTTATGGCTGAATAAAACTCCATTTGTGTGTGTGCGTGTGTGTGTGCGTGTGCGTGTGCGTGTGTGTGTGTGTGTGTGTGTGTGTGTGTGCGTATGCCACATTTTCTTAATCCATTCATCAGTTGTAGGGCATCTGAGTTGTTTCTATAGCTTGGTTGTGAACAGTGCTGCAATAAACATCAGTGTGCAATTAGACTTACATTCTCTTAAGTTGGTTCTAACCAGATTTTTGCTCCTATTCTACAGAAAATAATTCTTGTCTAGGTCATCATAGGGACTTTTGCATGGGTAAATCCAGTGATCAATTTGTAATACTCATCTTTCTTAACCTGTCAGCAGTATTTTATTAATTGGTGCTGTTAACACTCTCCTCTCCTTGATACGTCTTCTTGCACTTGACTTCCAGTACTTCTTCAAGTGCTTTCTAAACTTATGTCCTAAACTAATTACCATTCCTTTTCAGCCTTCTTGTTGAAATGCCTTTGGACCTCTTTTACCTATCCATACTCATTTCCTTGGTAAAATAAGAACATGTCATATTTTAAAATACTATTTCTCTGCCTAATATTGCCAACATTTTTTTTATCTCCAACTTCAACTTCTCTCCTAGACTACACATTCATGTCCAATGGCCTGTTCAATAGCTCCTATATCTTGGATCTAACATGTTTATAATTCCTCTGATTGGTTCGTAGTTTTTTTCATCCGAGTTGAAGATAACTCCATCCTTCTTGGGCCAAAAATATGTTTTGACTTCTCTCTTTCTCTCATAATTTTTACCATTTATCTGGCTATCTAATTGGCCTTACACTCAACATATATTCAGAATTATCTGCTTTCCATCACTTCCACTCGCTCCCATTCTGATATCAGCCACCACCATCCCTCAGCTAGATTACTTGCAATAGTCCCCCTCATAAGTCTCCTACTTCCTACTTTCTCTGTTACCTTTTCTCATGATCTGTGCAGGATCTAAGATTTTACCCTACCTTTAACCTAACAAGTTATCCTGCTACAGTTTCCTGGCAGGGGACACTAGACTCCAAGGTCAGCAAAAGCAAAACAAAAGCAAAAGCAGTAGTTAAAGAATCAGCATTCGTGCTGGTTCTTCAAGTCCAGTTCCCACAGAGCAACACAAAGAGGGGCAGATGATTTCTGACCTTACAGTAAAATGCTTTACAGGAAAGGAACCATGAGCTTAGGTAATCCACATCTTTTTATAATGGGTAGTAAGCACACCTTGCTGCAGAGAGAGAGACACAGACAGACACTGTCTTCCAAGGCTGTTTTCTCTACAAATATCCTTGTAAACATAGTCAGTGTGGTCAGAGCCTCTGCTAATAAGGTGCACAGCAATACTACAGACCCATGGATATTTTGTCTCCTAACACCCTTCTGTAGTCTCCTCTCAACACATCAGTCCATCTCTCTGTTAATAATCTTCCCTAACTGGATGCAGTGGAACATGGCTATAGTTCCAGCTCTTTGGAAAGGTGACACAGAAGGATCACTCTAGCCCATGAATTTGAGATCTTCTTGAGACTCCATCTCAAAACAAAAAAAAAAAACGTCCTGGCTTTCCATTTTACTTGAAGTATAAGCACAGATCTTTACAACAGTTCACAATGTCCTATGTTATATGTCTCCTACATCTTCTTGTCTCTCTGACGTCATGCCCTGTTCTGCTGTGGACTGCCCTCCCTGTCACTCATTCTATTCCAGCCACACTGCTCTTTTTTCTCTTTTTTCCACATGCCAGATATGCTTGACTTAGGATCCTTGTCTATACCTTATCCACCACCTGCAGTGCTCTTCCCGAGATACCTACCTTTGCTCAATGAGGCTATTGATCAAACCTCCTGTTTCTTCTGCTTCAGTTCACTTTACCACCTATTTTTGATGTTTCTGTACGTTAATGAGGTTAGCCAATGTCTCTAAATAAACATGTGTTTCTCCGTGCAGCGAATTATTATGGATTAGCTGCATGCTGAATGTGACACTTCTCTCCCTTAGGTGACATTTTTAGCTGCCATGCAGTTGACAACCCCAAACCCCACGCAGAGCTTGAGATGCTCAAGCGGTATGGACCGAATGTGCCTGAACCCATCCTTCAGAAGCTTGTGGCTGCCTTTGGAGAGCTGAGGAGCTTGGCTGACCAAGGATCATTCAACATCCGATCCACCAGGAAGTTGTCAACATCGTCAAGCATTTACAGGTGTGGCATACACTGAGGTTTAGGAACAGCCATCACTCTTTTTTCAGGCTGTGCTATTTCAGTTTCTATAAATAATCCGTCAGATGACATGAAGTGTCTGTAATTTTAAGTTATAAACCTGAAAGACCAGTGAACATTATCTGTTTAGCATTTGAATTGGCTTTGGCAGTGTTCTCTGCCATGGTCATCATCAAGAAGCTAGGAAATTTGGTGAAGGTTTTTTTGGAGACAAGAGAGTAAGACAGTGGAAAACATTCCTGTTTTAGTTTGATTTTTTACAACAAGCATGTGGCTTCTTAGATAAAAAATTCTTTCCATTTTTGTGGAACAAATGACATGAAGCAGGAAACAGATAGACTAACAGTAGATACATACACTGTGAAGTATTTGCAAAGAAGTGTTACATGATAAACAGTCAGGAAAATTGAAATTCCTTCTGACCATTACAAAAAAAAAAAAAAAAAAAAAAAAAAAAAAAAAAAAAAAAAAACAAAAACCACAAAAAAAAAAAACAAAAAAAAAAAAAAAAAAAAAAAAAAAAAAAAAAAAAAAAAAAAAAAAAAAAAAAAAAAAAAAAATTGATGTAGTCCACTTGAAAAAGAAAACAAAAAAGCAACTTCATGTAAATTCTTATATAAACAAATAATTCTCCATGATAGTTATAGCCTGTTTGCTCTTACCCTGTCCCCGTATACCTAACCCTCAGAAACCCTAGAAAAAAATAGAACTTGTGGGGCAGAGGGACAAGCATTCCGTTTATTCAAAAGGGTGCAAAAATTTCAGTTACACAGGAAGAATAAGTTTTTAAGATCTTTTACACAGCATGATGATTAAAGACAATAGTTAATAAGAATGTAATATATATTTTTAAATTCTACGAGAAGTAGATTTTCAAAGTGTACAAAGTGATGACATGTTAATTAACTGATTTAATTATTCCATAATGTGTATAAATATGGAAACAACACATTTTATCCCTAACATGTAAAATTACAAATTACATAAAAATCCCATAAGTGTATAAAATTATAAATTACATGTAAGAAGAAAAATCAAAAGCTTTGCTCTGCCCATAAAACCATGATAAATCCAATGTGGCCTGGTTAGATCCCAGCACCTGAAGAAAATTAAAACAGCCAGTAAAGAACCCACTGTACATGTAGGTATAGTGGTCCTTGTTTTCTTTCCTTCTGCCTGGCCTCCTATTTCTCCCATCACCATAACTTTTGTTCTGCCTCCTTTTTTTTTTCTTTCTTAAAAAAATTTTATTATTCATTCCTGCTCGCCCGTTACATTAAGTTTTGGGTCCATTTCTACCCCCACCACCAATCTCCCTCCCTCCCCCCTCACTCCAGGCAGAACCTTCTGCCTTATCTCTTTTTGGTGAATGAGAGACATAAGCCATAGATAAGAAGACAAAGCATATTTTGCTAGTTGAGTTAAGGATAGACTATACAAGAGAGATTTCCTGCATTTGCTTCATGTACAAATGTTAAAAACCCAAGTTGATTCATCTCTGACTGATCTTGAACATATTCCTGTTTCCCTCCTTTTCTTGTTCCGTTTCTTTTGTCTATTTATTCATGGACCAAATGTTTCTCAATACTTTCTGTTGATATCTAGCACTCCTTTTACTCAACTAGCATTTTTAAAGTGATGTTAAACACAGGGTTTCAGAAGGCATGGCCAGTTGCTGAACACCAGGATCTGATCTCTGCCCTGATATTTGAAAAGAAAATTGCCGCTTCTCAAATCTGATATTATTTTAAATGGAAAAGTGCTTACGAAGCCATCTGAACAACCATTGAAAGAGAAAAACATAGGTATTCCCACTATCTATCTGGTTATCTAAAAGGCCAGTAGATTTTCTGATGTTCATTTTGCATTTTGTTAGCATTGTAAATTTTTATAATAAACTGTATTCTTAACACATATATAATAATGATTTTTTTTTTTTTTACAGAATTTCCCACTGAAGGCCTCTCTAGTGTGGTTCGGAATGGTTTGACTTTGATTCCTACAACAACGACATGAGGGAGGTTTTGATTAACACTTTGCACAAAAATATGGGATACCTATTGGAGCAAAGCCTACCAAGTGCATGCAAAGGAGTAAGGCAAATTCACTGTGAAAAATAACCTTGAGCATTTCTCTTCTGATTCTTAAATGCTATAATCCTAAACCTACTGCTAGACTACTAAACTGAGTAGAGTGGGAATCACTTTTCCTGAGTAAACTTTTCAAATACATGGTATTTGCTGGCTGGTTTTCAGTTAAATAGCATTATTTATAGGTCTTTAGATTGAGATTTTCAATTATTATGAATTTCCCATGACTAGATGTAATGCAATCAATAAAGGGAAGTATTTGTTTCTTACAGTCTCTGTCATTTTGTTGAATTATTGGTATCATTTCATAATCCAGTACAAAAATCAATCATAGACATGAAAGCCATGTAAAGGGGACAAGTACATTTTGTTTAGATGTCCTTATTATGTCAACATATAGTTCCTAAATTTGTAATCATACTAGTGTAGATTTTTGGTTACTTATTTAAGTTCATAGATAAGAACAAGTAGATTTGTTTCATGTAGGACTATTACCTACCTTTTATTTATAAATCAAAGCTACTTACTTAACCTTTTTAAGACTAATACAAATATGTTGTTGACCAGAAAGGAGGTCTAGAGAGTTTATTAGGCATAATGAAGTCAGTGCAAATTATTGGAAAATAATTTTAAGTATGCATAACTTTTTGCCATTGCATCTGATGCCATCTTTATCTATGAAACATAATCAATATCATGAATTCATAAGGAACAATTATTACTCTTTAATTGTTATTTACCTTTAGTATCACATAGGTAAACTATGTAGAAAAATGTTATTAAATATAATCAGTGATTAGTCCACCAATGTATATATTTTTCCTAAGCATAAAATCATTCTTATTTCTTTATTCTTTGAAGTCATTGCAAGAGTTTTTTCATACTATATACCAATAAAAATAAATTATTAAAGTATTACGAATTTCTTAAATAGAAACAAATATTTCCCTTTGTAATAAAAGTACAAGATACTGTTATGTTAGAAATTATCAGTGCACTAGTTTGTATTATTATTAAGTAAATTTTTTCAGAAAAAAGTGAATGAATGTCATTTGCTAATGTGTACATTTTTCTATGTAATGCTACTTCAGTGATCGACAGGCAGTTATGAGCATTTATATCACTTATTTAATGGCTATAACACATCTTCTATATTAAATATTTCAAGAAATTGTCTGTAATATGCAAACTTCAGCTATACTCATGATTTTACTTCCTTGTATAAACTACTTCTTTATTTTCAGTTGAAAATGAGGTGGTTTTATCACTGTTAACAAATTTATATAATTAGATTTCTAGCTTCATGAAAAGTAGGCTTTTGATTTTAAAATAACTTTTCAGAACTCTTGCACAGCTTTAAATAAAAATTAAAATATATTAGTTTGTAATATCAGTCATAAGAAAATTGTTGCCAATTTCAGTTTCTAAGGAAGATGGATTATGCTTTAACTTACTTGTTATCGTCCTCAATTATAAACTGGAAAATTCTTACCATGCCATGGTAATATTTGCCATGGCAAGTTAATTCCAATTGTAGACTTACTTATAAGTGGGGCTATAATACAGTGATGTGGAAACAAGATGGTTGTACTCATGCCGAAGGTGTTGTTGGAAACAACTAGTTGTCCACCCACTGCATAGAACTAAAAATAAACTTCTAGCAGATGTGGAGGACAAGTGAATTTTCCCTTTTGGGTGAAGATAATAGTACACTATAGTTTGCACAATCATTCAAAGCATTTTTGCCTTATCTGTAAATTACAGTGACCTCAGCAGCTCAAAAATAGTGATGTCTTATTGCCTTTAGTGAAATCTATTGGTTACCTGGCACTCTTTCTATTAAATTATCAACCTTGTTCTTAGAGAGGATAATAATGGAGTGAACAAGTTAGTGACCTGGGAATTAAGGAGTTTGTCACTTATTCAAATTATATTTACCTGGATCACCTATAGAAAAAGAGATAAAAAGACAGAGTCCTGCCCTTAAGGAGCTCACAGTTCCATTTTGGTCATTTGAGTTTAAAGAAATTACTTAACTAAATGGGTTTCCCATTGATAAACTGAGATCATTTTATTATTGATAACATAATTGTGTAATTACTATCTAAGTCAGGAAATTTTGAGAATGGAAGGGGGAGCTATTGATAATAGCTCCATGAAAAGATATGTGAAATCATACATATGTCCAAGCCAGAATATGTGGTTATCTTCATTATAGATCATCAGTAAGTTTCTTTTCTATTCTAACATTCTTTACACTTTAATATAATCTTAATTTTTCTCTCATCTGGAAAAACAAAAGACATTTTAAAAGAAGTAATATTCACAAGACCCTGAGTTCAAACCCCAGTACCACTGAGAGACAGAGAGAGAGAGAGAGAAACACTGGTTGAGCATTCCAAATCTGAAATTCCAAAATGTTCCAAAATCTGAAATATTTTGAATGCCAAAATGATGCCACAAGTGGAAAATTTCATACCTAGCCTCATTTGGCAAGTTGCAGTCAAACTGTAGTATATTAAACATGTTGTGTAATGTTACTTCCAGGCCTCATGTATAAGGTATACATGAAACATAAATGAATGTAGTGTTTAGACTTGGGTCCCATCCCCAAGATACCTCATTATGGATATACAAATATTCTAAAATCCAGGAAAAAACCTAAAATCCAGACCACTTCTGGTCCCAAACATTTCAGGTGAAGGGTACTCAGCCTTTATCAATACTTTCCTCTCTCCCTTTAGAGTACTACACTGTTGACAGTAATCACATAAGCTTCTGAAGATTTTAAGTTGTCCCATGCAGTCTAAGATTT